GTAACAAGGCAGTGGCCTTGAGAGACGAGCTTCATGGCTTGACACAACTATTCATGGCACAGAGCGCCCGCATCATCTCCTTCTATCATGCTGCACCATGTAATACAGAGGTTAGAGCTACAGAGGTCAGAGGAAGCACCCCGAGAAACTTACAGCCCTGAAGTGTGAACCTTGTTACTTTCTCATACAAACTCTAGAAAGGATTAGTAAGGCCAGGAGAGAGGCTCTATAAGGTTACTACATCTGAGGAAAAGCTATGTAAGGCTGTTTACATCTGGAGAGACCCAAACCATCTTCTGTGCCACTGGAATCTGTGGCCCTGCTCCAAGAAAAGGATTTCTAGTTAATCCAAAGGCACAGGACACTTGACTGAGACCAGGGGAGTTGCTGTTAGGCACCCATTTTACTTAAATCTCTCAGCTCCAACTGTAAACAAACTCCTTTTAGTCAGGAATTTAACAGGAAACTGTCAGTCATATCTAGGAATTAGATTTTTAAAAACAATAAAAAAAGGAATATAAAAATTTAAAAAAGAATTAAAGAAAAAAGGATTTAAAAAGAGCAATAAAGACAGTTACCCTGCAGTGCCCTTACTTACATCTATTGCTTTAAAAATAGGAAATAACAAGAAAATCTCTGTTTAGTTTCCCTTTATTTTTTCTGCTTAAGTAACACAGGAAAAATCCAAAACCTAAAGCTTGCCAAACACTTACACTTGTGAGTAACTTTAATCCTGTGCGTAGTTCTGCTGAAGAAAACAGAACTACTCATGGCAGTAAGTACCTGCCGTTCTTCCAGCAGCACTAAGTGACAGACATGGAATTACTTAAGGAAGTGCTGTCCCGTACAGGAGCTCGCTGACTTATCTCATGCATTTAACAGACTTAAATTGGAAGCAAAGTGCTATCCAAAGTAATCACACACAAACCAAGAGAGAAACATTTTCCTTCTTCTCTGATTATTTTTGCAACAATAGGAATCATCAGTATTACTGAGAAAAGCAGATAAACATGTTTTAAAGGATGTCCCTTTAAGACTGGGCAATAATGGAATATTTAAATACATTTTTCCACCTTTTAAAATAAAGGAGTAAAACTGATTTTAAAAGAATGTCTCTAGTCCTCTCTATGACTTCACGCACACATTTAAGTGACTGCTTGCTACTTGTTAGTACATGGTTTGCACCATACGGTCTTAGCACAGGAAAGCTTCAAGCTTTGGCTCCGCAGTTACATGTGTGCATAGATGTCAAGGATAAAACCTGAAGAACTGATGTGCCCTTGTATAGGGCCACACGACTTAAGGTATACCACAATTTCAGTTTATTTAAACTTTTTTGCCTGCTTGAAATTTACTGGGACACAGATATATTTGCTTTCAAAATACTACTGAACGTTCTTTATTCAGGTTTTCAAAAATAAAAATAAAAAACAAAAACACCAATTTCCTGCTTTGGTACAACAAACTGTTTCTGAAATTGGTGTGCTTGTGTGCAACTGACGGTTGTAGCCCGATTCAATGGGAGCCTGAACAGACATCCCACCAGAATGCAACTGGAGTTTGTAAAAACGCTGCTCCGTCGATGGAGCCAGAGGTTTGGCCTTGGCTAAGTGATACCACCAATTTTCTCCTGCAATAACTTCCTCCTATCTCCCGATTTGTAAGTCTCTCTTGAAATGGCATTTCCAGCCAGGTTGCACTGTTCTGCATAGCGGACAGTTTACAGCAGAAAAAAACGTGCCTCAGTCAAAGTTGCCTCCCAGATGTGAAGGACCAGCTCTCCACATTAGCCTACGCTGTTCAAAGAACAGGGAAGAGACTTCTAGTTCTCAGTGAAACTCTCATGATCTCATGATCTTCAGTGAAAAACCACACCTTCCTTGGTGTAACTCTTGCCATAAAACTAAATCAAGGGTTCTCGGAATCAGGAAGTCTTCACATTCTGACCTGTTGGGATACTTGAAACAGATTCTAATCTGAATTCAGAATGTGGCTCCACACACAAAAATCATACTTGCATTTTTCTTTGTAAACATTCTCAGCTCTGTTATAACTGTCATAATGTGGACTGAATGCAGAGAATACATGTTATAATTTCTTACTCATCCAGCTGCTAAAACACCAAATGATCTACATGACATATGCACATGCTGGAGTTGCTTCATTTGATACAATAATTTCTCAAGAAGCACAGCTTTAGATGATCTGCACTGCTGAATCTCAAAAATGCTATCTGCTTTATCCTTATTTAAGAACTACATCTTAGAATACACATGTGAATTGTTAGTAAATTTGACTGACTTTCTATTTTTAGTGCAACATTTGATTTTGCGTCGTGTGGCAAGCTTATGCATCAGTGATGTAGAATATTCAAGTCATTAAAACAGCTTTTTTCATGCACATAAGCCAAAGTCAATATCCCACCAGTTAAATAATGCATTTTATAATTATAGCAAATATTTAATTTTCAAACAAATATCCTTTTGCTCTCACAGAATCAACAGCAGCAGTTAACATGATAGTTCACAATTAATAAGGACTCAGGAGAAAACCTCACACAATCAGTACTTTTCATCTACATATTTATGAAATTTCATCAATTATTCATGAAATATTTACTACTGGGAGCGGTGAATATGACAATCATGCCTGCTTTTTAAAATGTTACAAGCAGCATAATTTAATTCAAAAACTGTTGTATAGAAATTAAGGGACACTTTTAGGACCTGACTGTTCTGTAGAAAACAATGTATTGTTTTCAATTAACGGAACCAGTTTTACTAACTGATCAACCCCCCCACCCTCCATTCGAAGCCTAGACTTACAACCAGCGTGAATCATGCAATTCCCAAGAGAAACCAAATCTTACTGAAACCTCTCTCTGATGCAGTAGTTACCTAGCAGCAAAACCTAGCAACCCCTGTAGTATGAGATTAATCCCAGTGATCGTCATAAAGCAATATCTAAAAGACATTGTTTTAAGTATGCTATCCAAAGGTATATGAAAACGCAACATAAAAATGCTCTAGCATCTAACTGTTCAGCCATACAAATTAGAAATGACTACACAACAGCATGACAAGATATTTATTTATTGTTCTTTGCTCAGCTCTTCCAGTAAAGATAGAAAGAACCCAGATGTACAAAGAGATGTATATTCTTAAGTAAAATGTTCAGATGCAGCTGAGATACTCAAAGATCTTTCCCCATCTCCAATTTAATCTCATAGCGATGAGGACCCTTAGTCCCTGTATTTCTGCTAGCGGAGAAGTGCAAAACACCCAAGTATAGACTCTGCTCGGTTGCTCGGAACCAAAATCCTAGCAGGATATTCAGATTAAACACTTTCTCACCTTTTTCTCCTGCAATGTACTAAACATTTTCAGATCTCCTTACTCTGCCCAGGACTTGCACAAAAGAGAGAGAAACAAAAGTCCTGATTGTCCCGAGCTGTCCGTCTGCATCTTACCCAACAACATAGTTCGGTGTAAGCCTCACCTGAAAGGAAGGGGGTTACTCTCAAGGACCAGAACTGTGGCTTCGGGAGGAGGAAGAGAAAACAAGAGTCAGAATTCCCTGAAGGATTTTCTCTGAGGGATGGGACGTCCGTGCTCCAAACTGGGTGAAGGACAAATTGGAACTAGGTCTCATTTCCTCAGTAAATCCCTGCCACACTCGGTAACTCTCTTCTATTAGCCAGTTTGAGGTGGTTCCTCACACAGCTTACAGAGAACCTAAAGATTTAATTATATGGCTGAAGACTCTACCAGGTGATCCACACTTAAAACATTTGGCATGGCAACACTCCACAAAGTCCCTCTGCAAACGCGGCCTAGAGTATATAGCCCTTCCTTGAGCCTTCACCTTGTTCTTTTGTTGATTTTGCCTGCTCTGATCCCAGGTAGAGCTGCGTATACCTTTCCGAAGGTAAGCTTGGGTCTAGAGAGCTTTCAGAAGCACAGGCCAGGCACAACTCCTGTGTTTTATTCTTCATGCTACAGAATCAGGATCTTTGGGTGCATCCTTAAATTCCCATCACACAAACAAAGGTTACATACATGCTGTGTAATGAGAATACACATTTTTATTGCAACCCTGTATTTTTTCCTCAGACTAAACGGTAGGCTTTCCAGCTCTGTTTGTACTTGTGCACTGAATAGCGTGGTTGCCTACTGTTTAAAAACGCTTTGGCATCCTTGGGTAGGGTGCCCGATTAACAGCCCTGGAAAATGATAGTCTTCGTTTATTAAGCCAATAGGTATGTAAACATGATCGGAAGTGCAAGTTTTCCTGCTTTGCTTTGCTTATGTAGAAGAATAAAACCTATTCTCCAGTGAGAAGGAGGAAAGACAGTTCGATCCTTGCATCAGTTAGGCTCCCAAGGGAATAAAGGTGCACACACTAAGCAGTAAATCTGAGTCACTAATTCTTACTGAAATGCCATCCTCCAGCAACAGTCATCACCACGCTATAAGGTACAATGGGACCAGGAAAATTGATAGCAAAGAGCTCTGGTGTATATCCCTGGCCTGCCAAGTCATACATTTAACTGTAAAAAAATACATAATGGAATATGACAGTGCTTTTATGAGAATGGTTTGGCTACAGTAAAAAATAAGAAGCCAAAAAGAAAACAAATACTCTTGTGGTTCTTGCCCTTCAACACCAACAGGAGTTTTATCCACATAACGAGAGCTAACAGCGCGCAGCCCACATACACACCTGCCAGTAAAGTCCCAAAATCCACAAACTGATAGAGGTGCCTTCTGAATTGCTCAGACAGTGAAGGATTAAAACCAGTAACACCGCAGGATTTGTGTTTGCTTTTCATTGCTAAATACTGAACTATTTTAGCATTGATTTTTTTCACTTATTTTCAGCCATACCTACAACAGCCATTGTGTTAGTTGCAGCCATTTTTTAACTGCAATCAGCAATTGATTGTAAGCCCCTCTACAAGCACGACTGAGTCACTACCATCTACAGAGAGCACTGCTTACCTTAAATCTTTCTGAAACCCCTTCAGTGATGCTGATTGTAAATTCAGCTATTTTAGGAGCACGGAATTTTCCTTTCTTGCGGTCAGGCTCATATTCTGTTTTTGTTTTGACCACAACCTTAAAAAACAAACAAACAAACGGAAAGCTGTCAGTACCTTGCTAGCACATCCTCCAGTGCACTTGCCAAGCCTGGACTAGCCTGAAACCGGGCCATCTTCTTATTTACTCAAGAATTAACTAACTTACTCAGGAAACATTTCCCTATGCAATTAAAAGCATACCAATGCTTTTACTTCTTTTACCCGCCTACAAGGGCACCTAGCACAATACCGGTCATTTTTCCACTGTGTGTAATTCCTCTATGGAAGCTGTAAGTTGTTAGTTATTTTTCCTATCCACTTTTTAATAGCAATCGTCAGTAAGTTTTCTCTCCGGGTATTCTTGATGGACCTAAAGGAAGACCTGTTACACAACACCGTTTCTCAGATGTTCAGTTTTTTTCAACTGTTCTGTTATGATGCTGCTATAGCAAACAGGCATTTATTTAGTTCCAATCTAAACATATCATGAAACATCAGCTTCTTTGTATAGTTCGAGAACAGCCACCTCCGCTTGCTTCAAGAAATTCTCTTAAGGCCATTTCAAACCAGAGACCAATAGGATCAGATGGTTGCTTAAGAGCGCCTTTAGAAACGTATCATCAGTAGCAATATTCTTTGAGGGCACCATTTTGAGTTTGAAAGAAGTGAAATGAGCCATCTAGCTGCTATTCCACATGTGCTAGAATATAGTGCTCTTCACACTGTGTTCTTAAAGTCTCAGATAACTTTTGGATTATTTGGTGCAAGCAGCAAAACACACACAAACCCCTGTGAGTTATGTTCAGTTTATTTCCTGCTATGAGCTATTGCCCCAAGCCACAAAATTCAGCATCTTTCCTGTATCCTTAAAACATTCATTACCTCCGTTTTATCTCTAGTGCTCTCCTAGGCATTCTAGCTGTATAAAATTTTCACGTACCTAGCCTATTTGCCTCACTTCTGTCTTCTCCAGTTTTGGGGACCTTTTCAAAGTATCAGTCTCAAAATAGGGAGTTGTTTTATTGTATCAACAGTGCTGTTTAGGTTTACTCAATTTTTTCCTGATGTTCCAAAGAATAAATACGTAATTCCTTTTGAACTGTTAGAATCGGGTACGATAGTTACCTTACGTTATCAGGTATTATTGTGCCACTGTTACCAATGGCAATTATGTTACTGTGAAATGAGGGCTGTGACACTTACAGGTAGCCAGGTACTGAAATTAAAGCTCTTGGCTCCCCTCTCCTCATTTCCCTTCAATGACAGCTTGAACCTGTAATTGTGCCTAGGCCACAAAGCTTATCAGATACTTTTTAAATATTACAGAGATATGTACAGGTCATAGGAAAAGTAGTTTCTAAACCTATTTTCAGTTATAATTATAAGGTAATAATTATATAACTTTATGATTGCCCAACAGCATCATGGGAGTAAACTGAAGATCTTTGGAATGTTTTTAACATTTTCCTTCCCTTCCTCCCCCTTATGTTGCATAATCTCAGGCAACTCGCATCACATTCAGTTGCTACTGAACTGAACATACAGTTCTATCTGCTTGGTTATATAATGTCTTCTTTTGTTCAACATACCTAAAAATGAATTTAAATCAATTCATCCACTTAATTTAGAAGCTGTCAAAATTATCAAATTCTTAGTGCTACAGTCACTACTATTCTTGAAGTTATGCTTCACTGCCATACTGGAGCCTTGTAAGTGAACAATAAGCATGGATATATGAAGTACATACTCCTATTTATTATACAGGAGTGCCTTTGTACTTCAGAATTTGATTTGTGTGTCAGTCCTGACTTACTACTTTTGCTGTTTTTCACATCAATTGCCCTACTGCGTTTTAGTCCACAGCAGCCAAGAAAGACACACTTATGTGACTAACCAGACAGTCACAGAACAAAGCCTGTAAATATTTTTATTTTTCCCTCAATGTTTGTAGAGGAAAGGAAAACTAACAAACAGATGGACAGTGGGAAAAGTAGAAAAGCCAATCAAATACTCCTTTTTAGGTTTTCAGTCTAGGTGTACGTTTGCTTTTGTTCAAGGCAAACCTTGTGAAGGTGGGAGGAGTTCTGTGCAATTCTAGTCTTTGTCAACCAAAGAACTCTAAGAGTAATCACAGCAGCACAGATTCTCATGGCTTTGCAACAGAAGCACCACTTAAGTTAAACCTTTGACCACACAGATCACACTTCTGCATGACAGTGGAGTAACATAACAAATGCCTCTGGATGTCGGTCCTCAGTAATCGGCTATGTCCAGTCACCAGCTGGCAGCCGTATCAGACGCAGTAAGACTTAAGTTGTTCTAAAGCCTTAGGGTGCAATTTTGTCCTCTGCTTATGGGACTTACACTCACGTAACTGAGGGCAGAAAACAGGCCCTAAGGCTCTGGAGCAGCTGTTATGGCTTACTGTATTTACGCCTGCCAACTGGTCATCACATGCAAAACAGAACAATGTTGAAAGGCGTTAAAACGGAGGTCACAAATGTACTTGTACTGCCTACAAGCAACACGGTACACAGCAAGTTTAACAATCTGGAATTCTTTACCCCAACATAAGAATATGTGAATTTTTTAAGCTATGAGGAACTTTACCTATCAGTTTATCTAGAAGTAGAATTGAGCTCTTGGAGGTCACCAAGCCGAAAAGAGTCATGAAAATCACTTAAAGGATGTTACTGACTACTCCCCAGTTCACTTTTGTATTTTCCAAAGATTGTACAGCTTTTCTGCCAGATGCATACCTGAAAAGTGAATATCCAAAGAAATATCCTACTACTGTATGCAGTAGGATGTTACTCATGGTTACATTTACTAAATCCTTTATTGTGAGGGGAAGAAGCAGATTTACAGGCTACCACATCATTTTCCTACATTAAATCCTCAGTAATCAAGCCATGTAAGGAGGAATGCAGAACACATGCTGCAGGCAGCACCTCAGGCTGTCCCCTTTCCAGCCAAAGTCATCTGAATCACCTATTTGGAGGTTTCGGGCCAAATAAACTGTTAAGGAGAAAGAAGCTCAGCAGGCTGTTCTCGTCTCACTATTTCAGCTTGTCTGGGGCTAGCGGGGGGAGTCCCTCTGAAGCACAGGAGGAATACGGAAGTAGCCAGTCTGCCTATGCACATACATCTTGCAGAGAGATAAAGCAGCGCTTTCCCATTAGGGGAGGTTTTTCAGGACAGAGAAAACTCACGTAATTCACAGGGCATATACAGTACCTTCCAGATACTGAAAGGAAAGATGCAGAATAAGAAGGGATATGACAACACAGCATTGAGAAGCTTGCATTTGTATGTTTATATACTCCATACAGCAGCACGGAAATCCAAATATGCTTATTGCTACCATTTTCCACTACTTTTTCATGAAAGCTAAAGTCATTTTAATGCAAGTCACTACTACTGGATTTTCATTAGCTTAACTGCCAATATTTTCCCCCAGATGGATTAGCCGCTCTTTAAAATACCCTGCATTACTTGACATCCCTAAGCCGCTTGCTACACATAACCTATTCTTTTGTTGTTTGCCTGAGATTTGGGTGTGATTCTCCAGGGTGGAAACTGAAGGCGACCGTTACCTTATCGGGAGGTGGGAACTGGAGCTGATTGACATCCAGGGGCGTGATCAGGGGGATGGTGTCAAATCCATCCTCCAGCAGCGGCTGCTTTGTGCTCTTCTCGCTGAAATTATTCCCCAGTTTCACCATTCTTCCAGGAGAGCACGATTTCCTGCGAGCACACACACAGGCACGCACACCCCACACACGCGCACACAGAGACACAGACACGCACACACAGACACGCAAAGCGGAGCGACGTGTCAGAGACTCGGGACGCAGCGGCCCCGGCCGGACACCTTACGGCACAAATAAATAAATAAGTAAATAAATAACAATCCCGCGTTGACCCCGGTGACCTGAATACCTTTCGAGGCTTTGGAGAACAGGAGCGACCGCCGGAGCTTGTATCGCTCGAGTTAACAGGGAAATTAAAAGACACAGACCCACGGCCCCGTACCGTGACCGAGCGGTCCCGCCCGCCCGGCCATGGCGCTCGGCGCGGCCTCG